AATATCATAAAAAAAATCAAAATTAATAACTAATATATTTTTTTTTGCAGTACATGTAGTTGAATGTTGGTCCTACATGAGGTTTGTAGCTAGTACAGCACCAAGTCAACCTCTCCTAACAGAAATCAGAAATCTCTGGTACACGGTAGTATGGTACCCTTTTGGATCTTATTTCTTCTTACTGCTGCACCTACAGCTCGATTTCCATCTACCCTTAAATGGGCTAAGCTAGAAGTCTTGAACCAATCCCCCAATTTTTTTTTTTTTTATTAATTTTTTATTAGTGAAATATTATTTAACACTAATAATGACAGAATTAAAGGAGGATGAAAAAGGAAACAAAAATAAATAATAATGTCTAAAAAAGAAAGAGTAAGTGCACCCCACACCACGATGCTTTCTTTGTGCATATATTTGTTATGTTTTTTCAGCTTGAGATGGGTTTTGTTAGTTGGGGAATCAAAAACCCACTAACCTTCTTCATGTCCTTTTTTCTTTCTTCTGCATTCTCTTTAATGCCTTCTGCACCCAGTTTTATTGGTTTGTTTCAGACTTTTTGACCACCAGAAAGTCAGCAAAAGAAGATGGAGATCATTGCTAATTCTTTTCCTTTGCCTGCTGTCTGCCACAAATTTTGCCGGATTCCCACCGAAATCCAAATTCTAGTCTTCTTTTAGTGTGACACCAACAACACCGGTCCAAAGGAGAAACTCACAACTACTAATCACATCCTTCCGGTCTCCTCAGGGAAATGAAAAAAGGATGCATGTGTATGTCCGTGATACATGACTATTGAGTTTTGAAATTTGAACTGTACTTATTTTGACATCAAAGAAAAGGGGTGTTTCTTGCCTTTACCACAAAGTTAGAACCTGTTTCCTTGGACATAAACCAGAAAATTTTATGGTGGTTTGGTTATTCATCCTATCTGTATACCTAATTTTGTTTTCATTGGTCCTTGGCCCTTGGGAGATGGACAGTTTCATTCCAATTGACCTAAACTCAATACCCATTTCTGAGAGAAAATTTGAATGTTCGATCTGAGTCTGAATTGATCAGGACAAATAAACCTCACATCGAACACCACAAAATGATTTTGAAAATACTGAAATTGCAAAAAGGGAAAGTGAAAGAAATTACATGAAATGAGTTAATATAATTTACCGAAATTAAGGACATTGCTCTCTCTCTATACTCTATATAGTACAAAAAAGAAGATTAAAAAAAACGGAAATAGTGCTCCAGATTTGTCCGATTTACCCCTCCATTCCAATTGAATTTAATTCTGCCCTTTTTCAACACAGATAAAAGTGTTTTTTTTTTAATAACTTAAAATTACCATCAAAATTGGCCTCGTTCTCCCTTTTTAGATATATATATATATATATATATTTTTTTTTTTTTTCAGGGCAGTTTAAGGCCTTAGCTTTTTAGCCCTTCTATACCAACAGCCGTTACCGTTACCGTTACCGTGAATACAACACCGGCGTTACCTACTAACTCTCTCCCATGACAGCATCGTCGCCGTCGACTCCCCCGTCGCCATCAATACCTTCTGCTTCTTCATCCAGCCACCGCTCAACCGGTGCGCACTCGGCTTTATGTCGCAGCTTCCAATCAAGCGCCTGGCACGCGCGTGAGCAGTAATTCACAGCTCCACAAACAGAACACCTACGAAACTCGTGTTTCCTGGTTTCCGGCCTTCCGCATCCCACATGCGAGCAAAGCCTGAGCCCCGGGCCAGGAACTCCTTTAGCTGTGTACCACTCGGCCAGGAATCGGCTCGCCGGATGCGCATCCGGCGCCGGCACATTACATCCGAAATCGCTAAGCAACGGACATCCCGGCCCGGACATGTGACGGTGATTTGGATGCGGGATCGGATGAGGACTCCATGTGAGCCAAGAACCGCTGGAGATTTTTGAAGCGCTCGTAGAGAGTACGGCGGCAAGCTCCCGTGCGTTGGCTTGAACGAGAAACCGACGGCCTTCGGCGATGTTCTGACGGACGCCATAGCCGTCCTGAAGACAGTGACCAAGCTCGCGTAACGCATCGATATGGCCAAGGAAGGCAGCCCGAGCACACAAAGCCACACCGGCTCGGAGGTCCTTATCGTTCTTTGAACCACCGCTCCCGTTGAACTGAATCACTGCCAGCGAGTATAGCGCGGGCGCGTGAGAGCTAATCGCCGCCTTGGCCATCAGCGAGGCTCCGCTTCCTCGATTTTGTAAGCAGTAAAACCGAATCTGCGCAAATCACGAAACCGTTACTTCTCCAACCAGTCACATGCCATCCGGAAAATGCTAAAATTGAAAAAAAAAAAGAAAAAGAAAAAGAAAGAGAAATTATTTTCCTCCTAATTTAAGAATATAACTCACCATGCCAAGAGTGTAACAAGCTTCAGCATTTCCGGCATCGGCGCAAAGTTTCAAAAACCGGTGAGCAGACTCCGACCAGTTCTTTGCTTTAATAGCAAACATTTTCGAGGAGCCTTTGGATAACACAAGAGAATGAAGCGCCAAACTATTCAATCTCTTGCATCTGTTACAAAAAATTTTAGAAATCAGATTCAAAATCTATTCTAAAACAGAAATCAAAACTCGAACACAGTGAATATCTCGGCGACGTACGTCATCAAAACGTTGACGAAATCCAAAGGACAACCGCCGGAGGAGCTGAGCTTAGACAGAATAGAAATGACAAGATCATCCGGCAAAGAATCGAACAAATCGGACTTCTCCGCCGCCATCTCCGGCCAGAATCTCTGCCGTTTCCTATAAGGCAAGTGTTCGCCGGTGAAATCCCGGCGCTTCACTACTCTCTTCTCCGCCCACACATCCTCCGCTCTCGGATAACAACAGCCTTTCCTCGTTCTCATTTCTCCGCCCCTATCCCCCCCTATCTAATCCTATTTTTCTCCGTTTTGTATTTGTTTGGCTCAAAGATAAAGAGAGAAAAAAAGCTGAGTATGGCCTTATATAAAAGAGGGAACCAGCAACAACAACAACGACAGAGCCGAACAAAAATAATTAAAAAAAAATTAAATATATTCAGAAGCCCCATAACTTTCTGTTATTTGCATTCTAACCCTCCTGATTTTGTCGTTTTCTTGGTCAAACTTGGTTGACCCAGATCCCTTCGGCCGTCCTAGTTTTTGCTTTATACTGTAGGAAGAGAAACTTGTGTTATCTTCATCTCTCTTTATTTATTTGTTGTGTGTGTCTTCTCTCTCTATTCTCTCTCTAGGTAAGTTTCGGAAGCGGTTAAATTTGTTTTGAAGTTAAAAAACTAACTTCGGTTAATCAGTTTTACTGAGGGTGAAATTAATAGACTCGCGGGTGTGAGAATAGATTCAGTTTTCAGCTTCGTGATTGGGGTGTGGGGACACGCGCTGCTGTTGCGGGTGAGGAAAATGGCATGGCGTTAACAAATTTCAGGTAGCGAATTCTGGGCACTCGTCGATGACCTTAACCATAAAGAGGTCAAATGTATGAATGAGCAATTACAATGGTTCAGTTACCCTTTCTTGTTTTGGTTGAGTTATTTCCATTTTTGTCCCTTTATTTTGTGGTACCCTTTATTTTGTGGTACTGTTCTACCCATCAAAACAATGAGTTTGCCCTGCCATAATCGCCATAAAAATTTTAATGCTATTAATATTTCTTTTCCTTTTTGGTATGGTTAATTTTTTAAGTAAATGATTTTTCTATGGGATTTTAAATATCTACTTCATAAAGAAATTGATTTCACTACTTTTAAACAAGTGACACAATTGTTAATTATTTAAATAATTTAATAATAATTTTTTTATTAAAAATAAAATATTTTGATTTCGAGTTATATACTATGTAAATTAGGTGATATAAAAAATAAAAAATAATTATATTTTATTATACAATGTTGAAATATTTTTAAGAGGATAAAATGAAATATTAATTAAGAAAATAACTAAAATAGAATGAAATAAATTAAGAATTTAAAAATTCAAATTAAGGGAATTAATTAATAATCTTTCAAAATTTTAGGCTGTGCCACTGCTCTAGGTCGCATGTCTCGCTCTCAGCAAGCAACAATGTTGCCTTAGCCGATCACGACAAGGTGGGAGTTTGTCCTTCAGCGAGGGTTCGTAATTTCTTGGCGATGGTTTTAATATATGGGGTTTTCTTAGTTAGCAGGGTTAGTTTCTTCTGAAGAGTGTTTTATTGCCATGGAGTGTAGTTAACTAGAGTGGTGGTTTTTTAGGTAGCTTGTTCTGTAGGGCTGCTTCTGTTAATGCCTCAAGCTGCCGATGGTGATTGTGTCATGATGCATGACGACTTCTTCTACTATCACTTGTATTAATTAAGTGTCTAGCTAGGGTTGGTAATGTATGCAATTAGGTTGTAATATGCTCCATACAATTGTTTCTGTGGAAACTATTCTCGTTTGGCTTGGTTTTTGTAACATTTCGACTTCAATACCCACCCAATGTTGTCCCCTTAATACGGACATCACCAAATTCTCGAACCACATCATCCCTTCAATTCCAAGTTGAAAAAACCAATAAAACCCTACATCAAAATACCTCAATTGATGGCTGATCAAGAGCAACTCCTAAAATTCCTTCCTTTAGAGAAGTCGCAATGCAGAATCCTCTTTCATGACCTATAAATAGAAAGGGACACCAACAAACAATCAAAACTTAATGAAACTCTGTTGGACATGGGAGAAAAAACCTTCCTTGGGGAATCTTAAGCCTTAACGAGGAGCGCGGAGAGCAATGACCTTCACGGCGCTATGGTTCAAAACCCAAAAGTTTTCTTATGTCAAAATTTAGTTTTATTATTATTATTATTATTGATAACTTAATAGTGTGAATATTCTTAAAGTAGCCTACACATTTTTCCAGACTGATATCTTTCCAATTTAGCTATTTTTCTACGCACGAGACTAACGGGCTCAATATTGGAAAATATTTGAAGGAAAAAGAAATTTCGTTGTTGATTAGGGAATAGTT